CCAAATAAGGTTTCCAAGTGCAATTCATCTTTTTTAAAGTACAGTTCAACTAAAACTCTTCCAAAACTTAAAGAAGACATAAATACAACTAGAGAACATAATTGGGAAAGTGGAGAGAAAAGCACATAATCATCAAAATCAAAGAGCAAAAGCTAGGGTTGGAATACTTTTGAAATCGAAGAAGATACTTGGTGCAAGATCCAATTCTTTCCATGATCCAGATTTTAAAACTTAGCTATGAATGCTATATTTTTTCCTTCCATTATTATAAGTAGCTAAATTCATAGCTATGGCAGGCAATGTAATCTATGTGTGACCATTTATTTGTTTTATTCAAAATTCTAGTTCTTTAAATGCATATGTGTTGATTTTATTCATAAATTTAATGCTTTGAATTTTTTGGCTAATTATTCAATGATTTTGTGAATCTATTATGAATCAAGAGGTAAGTTTTAGATTTAGACCACACAGTAAAATTTGGTAATTTAATATAACATGTAGAGATATCTATACTAACTATCGCAGTTGTTAGATGGATTCCTAGAACATAATTGCATTTAACTAATATTGATTCACATAGAGATATGGAATTGAATTACTTAAATAAACTCAATGAGAACTCGAGGGGGGTAAATTGAATTATTTAAAAGAATTCAATTGAACACTACAATAGTAATGAATTTTCATTAGCAAATTAAATGGGATCCATAGGTAAAATTGCAAATCTTAGCATCTACACTTATACTTTTAAAACCAAAATTTGATAAATTGTGTACATTAGATTAAGTTAGTTTAGTTAGAATATTTTAGATACTAATTACAAACCTTATTATTTGTTTTCGATCAAATTAAATTAGGAATAATTTAACTAATGTTAAATAGTAGTCCTCGTGAGAACAATATCTAGAATTATTGGTCATTATATTATTTGTTACTAATCGTACACTTTCGAGATATAAAATCGATAACAGATAGTCTCCATTTCTTTGTTGGAATCCCAAAGGTTCTCCTTCCTCCTTATTCTAAGGGTAACTCTTTCGAAGTATAGCTCTCGAAAATGAATCTTTTGCTAAAACATTAAACAAACTCTATGCCTATATTCTACGAAGCTATTGTTCATCGAGCATAACAATAGATTAATATATTGAACATGCACCAAGCACCAAACTACGGCATACCTCCTGCAGTGTCTAGCTTAACAAACTCCTGGTAGCTTTCGACTATTTTAAGTAGTTTTTCTTAGCTTAGATCGAAAATAATAGCTACCTTATTGTGGCCTATTTGCTTTAGACATGTTCTATTCCAATAACTTATTGGTATGTGCTTGTTAGAATTTGGGTGTGACTCGAATTCTTTGTTGAAAATAATTGATAGTTCTAATTAAAGTACACATTAAGAGAAATTCTATTAGAATGCTTTTGGAATTATATTCGAAGTCTATTGGATAAATTCTAGTTGAAGTTCTATTCGAAAACCTATTAGGAGTTGGAATTTGTGTTTGGACATAAAAGAGGTCAAGATAAGAAAACTTTTGGGCGTTCTATTTTATCTACAACTTTATTTTTAGAGCTTGAATTGTTCCCTATATATATTTAGCTTTTCTCTACAATTTAGTTGGATTGTTTAACCTCATTAAAAGTTAGACAAATTATAAATACAAAAAAATTGTATTCTTTCTTTATATTATAATAAAATATCTATCTTCTGCAAATTTTTTTCTTCCTGTTTTCTTGTGATATTTACTTCATATAATTGTCTTAATCTCTTATCTTTTCATAACAAATTGGTATTGAAACTGTTTTGTTTTCAATAAAGTGGTTTCAAATTTAGTCCGATTCATAACAAGTGGTATCAGAGATTATAGTTTTGAAATTATTGGGAAGATCGAGATTTTGATCAAGTTCATAGCTCAACTTGATTTTTTGTGATGGTAACTATGAAGTTTGATGTTCCACTATTGGATCGCAGTACAAGATTTTCGTTGTGATATATTAGGATGCTAGCAGTACTCACTTATATGGGATTGATTTTGTTGTGTTTTTTGCCTGCTTTATATTTGTTGTTTAAAGATACGATCTTATATAGTCTTGATCTCACCATTGAAAAGTCTATGATGCTCTATTTTCAAATGAGAAAATAAAGCATATTTTTTAGGTTCATGGAGAAGGCATTGTTTTTTATGGTAGTTGTGTAAGGGGTAAATTAAGGTCTAACTTTCAAATTTATTGCAAGAATTCAGGGCACTTAATTAAGAACTACTATAAGTTGCGTAATAAAGAAGATTTGGCTGTAACTTTTCAGAAGGGAAAGCAATTATATATTTTAGGTGAGACCATTATTGAAACTTTTCACGGTGATGGAGAGCTTTTACTTATGTATGACTACAACTCTAATTTTGACGATGCTTGGATTTTGGATATAGCTTGCACTTTTCATGTCACCCAATCGGGAATTGTTTTCTATATATGAAGAAATTTCAAAAGGTGTTGTGATAAACGGTAATAATACACCTTATAAGATAGCTGGTATTGGCCGAGTCAAAATAAAGATGTTTGATGAGACAGAACACTTCACTACAAAAAATAATCAATTTCGCGACAAATAAATGTTGTCACAAAAGTAATTGTTGCGGGTTTTGTCGCTCTATATGAGTCACGGAATGTGTTCTACGACACCTTTTGACCGTTCATCGCATTAACAAAATCACGACACTATTTGTGTGACACAGAAAATACGAAATGGCGACACAATATTTGTAGCCATAATGTCGTTGCAATGTATATATGTCGCAAAAAAAATTTAAAGGATGGCAATTCAGTTTGTCACAACGAATATTCCAATAAAGTTTTTATGAGAATTATATTTGTTGCGAATGTTAAGTCACCGAATATTTTGCAACAACTTTAGAATTTGGACGTAGCCCGAATTCTTTGTTAAAAATAATTGAGAATTCTAATTAAAGTGTACATTAAGAGGAATTCTATTTGGAATGCTTTTGAGATCCTATTCGAAGTCTATTGGACAAATTCTAGTTGAAATTCTATTTGGAAGCCTATTGAAAATTGGAATTTGTGTTGGACATAAAGAGATCAAGATAAGCAAATTTTTGGGCATTATATTTTATCTATAACTCTAATTTTAGGACTTTGAATTGTTCTCTATATACATTTGGCTCTTCTCTACAATTGGGTTGTTTAATCTCATTACAAATTAGGCAAATTATAAACACAAAATCTTTTTATTCTTTCTCCATATTACAATAAAATCTATATCTTCTGCAAATTATTTTCCTCTTATGTTCTTGTGATTTTTACTTCACATAATTGTCTTAATCTCTTATCTTTTCATAACAAATTGATATCGGAACTGTTCCGTTTTCAATAAAGTAGTTTTAAATTTGGTCTGATTCATAATAATGCTAGTGATTTCAATTGTTGTTCATGATAACTCTTCTAAAAACACACTTCGATTTTGGGACATAATAATGAGAAAAGGCCGATTTTGGTCCAATTCTCGGTTCTACTATGAGAACCGACGGTTCTCATGATTTATTTATTTTTTGATTAAATTATTGTCCCTTATGACACGGCAATGAAACTTTCCTTCATTTTAGAGACTCGTCAGTTTCCTTGTTCCTCTTGGATTTTTTCTCTTTTTAATTCTTATAATTGTTTGATTGATTGATTATTTTCCTGCATTAAATTTCCTTATTCTATTTGATTGCTTTCCTTCATCAAATTTTCTTGTTTCTCCAAAGTCGATCGGATTCGGCCTTCAACATTTGAAGATTATTGAAGTCTTGAAGATAACCCGGTAATGTACTAATTTTGTATTTTTTTTTTTGGCATAATACCTCATTATTTGTTGATTTTCAACTTGTACCCTTTGTATTTATATTTTTTTCGATCTTTTATTGGCTAGGCTGGGAGTGAAATTGTTAAATAAGGGTAAATTTAATAAATGATTGGCTATGCTGGGATTGTGATTTTCTAGTGCGGGACGACGGGAGTGGGAGAGGGAGAACTAGAGAAGAAGGGTGAGGGGTCATATTGAGAAATTCATTTATAAAAGTATTTATAATTTTTTCCGATCAATTCATGAAATGTTTATTGAATAAGCAACTCATTGATTTGGTTGTTGGGTCTCTTCAATAATTCAATTATTGTTTTAAGTTTCTCAGGAACTTGAAAGATCTTAAATCTGACTGAATTAACTTTGATATGAGCAGAAGATTCAAACATCAATGCGGTTGGATTGGATGAATGGTATTGATTTTATTTATTTGTGAAATCATATATGTAAATTTGCATAATCTTTGTTGAGTTTTTCTTTTGATGTAGGCTTATCAGTCATTAATTCTATGAAACTAAGCTCAAATCCAGCAAAAGTTGGATTAATCGTTGTTTGAAGTTTAATTGGGATTGGGGGGGTCAACTTGCCCATCTGGAGAGAGGGGAAATCGAGTTGTTTTACTTTTTTTTTTTCATTAACTATAATAATCTAGTTTTAGTAATATAAAAAATTGAATTGGAGTGTACTGTTTTGTGTGTGTAAATAAAATGTTTAGCTAGAATTTAAGCTTTCCTTTCATGAAGGAAAACCACAAAACGGGATGTCCTTGACAAGACCTTTCTTTTTATTAGCTTCTTTTAGTGTATCTGCGCACATTTGTGAGTGTGAATTAAATATTTGTATACATGATAGTTTTCCCATATTCAATCTAATTTTCAAAATCTATTATGGTTATTGATTTTAGTGAATCTGTAACATTGTTACAATGCCAGGGTTCATGAGTAGGCAAACACTCCACTTAAATGGCTTTTCCTCATTCTCATCCACTTATACGTTTCTCTATTCATTCTGTGTTATTGTTGATTCCATAAGTTTATTTCATATTTTCATGTGATTTGTATATTGTAGATAAATATCTAGATGACTGAAGATAAAAATAATAATAATAATAATAATAATAATAATAATAATAATAATAAAATCAAAGTATGAGATCAGAAGTATGGTCACATTTGACTAAGATACAAAGGGGGAAAAAGGTAAAATGTAATTACTGTGAAAAGTCTTATGCTTGTGATTCCAATAAGACTAGTACTTCTGGCTTGTGGAAACACTTTAAAAATTGCCAAGCAAATAAGAGTATCAAAATAGATGAAAGACAAAAGGTACTAGCAAGACAATTAAATGACAATGATGGTGGTGATGGTGGCATTGCCAATATTACTGTTTTGGTGTTTAACAAAGAAGCATGTAGGAGGGCAATGGGGAAAATGATTATTGTTGATGAATTGCCATTTAGCTTCATTGAAGGTGTCGGGTTTAGAAAATTCATGAGATATGCTTGCCCTAAGTTTGATATTCCATCTTGTAGAACAGTCGCAATGGATATATTGAAACTTTATAGTGACGAAAAGGAAATATTGAAAGGTAAACTTATTTCTAATAAGCATAGGGTGTGCCTTACAACAGATTGTTGGACATCAATACAAAATATTAGTTACATGGTTATCATGGCCCATTTTATTGACAAAAATTGGGTAATGTATAAGAAGATATTGAATTTTTCGATGGTTCCAAACCATAAAGGGGAAACAATTAGAAAACTTATTGAAACGTGTTTGCTTGATTGGGGAATAGAGCATGTGTCCACAATTACTATTGATAATGCAAGTGCAAATGATGGGGCTATTGTCTATATAAAAAAGGTGTTAAAGAATTGGAAGGTTGATGGGATGGTTTTAGGTGGTTCTTTTATGCACGTAAGGTGTTTTGCACATATAGTGAATTTAATAGTAAATGATGGGTTGAAAGAGTTTAATGTGGCAATTGCAAGTATTAGAAATGCTGTGAAATATTTTCGATCATCCCCTTCGAGATTAGCGAAATTCAAGATTTGCATAGAGAGGGAGAAAATTGAATGCAAAAAATTGGCTATATTAGATGTACCTACTAGGTGGAATGCGACATACTTGATGTTAAATAGTGCGCTTAAATTTGAGAAAGCATTTGATCGCATGGCAGAGGAAGATGGTTTTTATTGCAAATATTTTGTTGAACGTGAGAACGGGAAAGAAAGAGAAGGTCCACCTACTACAGAAGATTGGGAAAAAGGAAGGAAGTTTGTTAAGTTTTTGAAAACCTTTTATGAAACCACTTTAAAATTTAGTGCATCTTCGAGTGTGACCTCGAATTTATACTTTCAGCACTTGTTGAAAATATTTAGTGATAGGCAAGATCCTATATTAAGTGATATGGCAAAAAACATGAAGACCAAATTTGATAAGTATTGGGGCAGTGTTGAGAAAATGAACAAAATACTGATAGTAGCCACAGTGCTTGATCCTCGGCATAAGTTGGAGTTTGTGGGTTGTATTGGCCGCTTGTATGACAATATCTTGGTTGAATCGACAAAAGATGAAATCAAGAATTTATTATATGAGTTGTATAATCAATACAAGGGATGACATAATGCATCTATTTAAGGAGATGGTGGTATTTGTGACTTCAATGACAGTTTAGTGGAGGTAGCTACAGATGATGATTGGGATGAGTCCAACAATTTTGATTTTGGGTACAAAAATTGAAAAGTAGCCACACTGATTTGCTAGGAAAAGACGAGATTCAGAGATACCTAATGGAACCCACTGAGGACTCTACTAATCCAAATTTTGACATTTTGACTTGGTGGAAGTCAAATTGTCCAAGATATAAAATTTTGTTCGAGATTGCAAGGGACGTACTTGCAATTCCTATTTCTACAATTGCTTCGGAGTCAGCATTTAGTACTGGAGGGCATGTTCTTGATTCATTTAGAAGTTCTCTAACACCTAAAATAGTTGATGCTTTAATTTGTACACAAAACTGGCCACATTCTACACTTTTGGGAGACTAACTTTATGGAGCAGGTGTTGAAGAGATAGAGTTTCATGAAAAATTGATTCCATTGGAAACTGGTAATTAGAATATCATTTTTTCTTCAAGCTTATTAGATTGTATATTTGTTTTTATTTATGTTTCTTTTAATAGAGAATTTGAGATTTTGTAAGTTTCAATATAATGTAGAGCTAGTTAAGAAACATACTCACATGAAGGATGATTCAATGGTTGTGGAACTTGACTGATGATCTAAAGGTAAGTATGGCCACAATCATATTTTATATGTAATTTCCCACATGTTTGTTATATTAACTTTAACTTTTGTGACATAGAATCAATGCAAGAGGATTGATTGATTCTTTAAAAGGATTGATGCAGATAGCTTGGAGAAGACATTGACCAAATAGTTCTTAAGTTCAATTTTTTTATGATAGATTGTTAATTTTTTATTGCAATATGGAATTCAGACATTGGAATTGTTAACTTATTGTTCGAAATTTAGACCCATGTAACATTATTCACGAGGAAACTTGAAATTTGAAATCATTTTTAGTGAAAATTTGTTACTTCAAGGTACTTAATAGAAATTTCTGTTTAATGGAAGTTTGTTTAATCGTTAGAGTACTATGCAGTTTATATAGGTTGATGATTGCTTGATGATAGTAACTTATATTATTTCGATATTGTTTTTCAATTTGTATACTTAATTTTCTTTTAATCTTTGTATAATATGTTCAGTTCTTCTATATTTAGTTAAAAGTATTGCATTGGTAACATCTCCAGATTTTTTTATTAGTGAACATTATGTTTTGACCTTTTTAATGCAAAGAACCAGACCGGACTGAATCAAAATCGGTTGGTTCAGTTCCGGTTCAGCTCCTAAGTTGGTTATGAAACCAATGGTTTCATTTCTCAAATTTTCATTGGTATTCGGTTCGGCCCGGTTCCAACCGGACCGCTCCCACTTTTAATTTTAGGACTAGAAAACTTAAGAAATAGTAGTTCATATCATTGTAGGTACGAGTCTTGAACCAGAGTTTTATGAAAAGGGAAAAACGCTTTGCAAACTGTTCGACAAAAGTTTTATGGTCTCATGGGAAGGCACGGCTAGTCTGGTAATATAGACTGGCCATGCATTGTCATGCAGGGGCCACTTCAAAACCCGAAAAAATCCAATTTTTCACTTCTAGTTTTGTATGATCACTTTTCTTGAGTCATTTGCTCGCAGTGGAATACGGATGTTTACAGCCTTTCATGTTGGATTCTGCTCATAAAGATGCCAATTTTCGGTCGGATTGAGGCTTTTCAAATTGTACTCTACTAAGTAGAAGAGTGAATGACATTGAAAATGGGGGACAATACGTGTCACGCTCTGATTATATACGCCTCGGATACCGAAGTGATCCGAGGCCGAGATCAAGTGGACCCCTCGCAGCACCAATTATACCGACCTAAAAGCAACCCTTCTGAAACTTCTCCGAAGTGATATAGCGATTCCTACTACTAGTCTGCCGAAGCATCTCACGTCCGAGGTCGAGATCAAGTGGACCCCGGTTAGAAGATCAGCCGCCAATTTGAGATTTGTCCTACACCTAAGGCTTAAATTGATTTGACGTCTCCATGAGGCTAGTTGATGTGACTTATCAACTTTACGTCAATTCAACTCAGAGGAAACAAACTGTCTGCCCACTCTACAAACGCGGCTGATTGACGCCTATGAGCAGACGCTTCATACCGTCAGATATATACACGCGTCCCACATCCAACAGTTCATACCACCTATAAATACCCAAGGTTTGGCAAGAGGCAAAGGTAATGAAACTCTTAATACACAGCATTCCATAACAAGTTTATATATTTGCCTCCCCCTTTATTGATCGATTTGTATAGTCTCTGGGTACTGTTCCGATCACCCAAACCTGACTTGACCGTCGGAGTGTATACGGCCGCCACCACCCCCGTTGGTTCCGGCCATGTGCGCCTGACTATTTGTTGATTGTGTGTAGGGAGGAATATGTAGAGCAGCTTTCAATTGGCCATGTGGAAGGACCAATTTTCGAGGTCAACAGATTGGCGCCGTCTGTGGGAAGCACTCCCCATTCGAAATTTTGCGTTCTCCATTGGAGAAGATACCGGGAAACCGGCGACTAACCCTGAAAAGGGGGCATTCTTGAAAAAGAACAAAGTCGAGTTACAATCCAAGTTCTTACTACCCTTGAAAAAAGAGGTAGGATGAGCTACAGCCATGAAGACGACAATCCCATAAGAGAGGCCTTTGAAGAAGAGGTACTCCATAACAATGTTACTCATCAGAGCCCGCATCACCGGCATCGCCGAGGCGGAAGAACAGCCATACTCACTGAAGGAATGGCTCAGATAGCTGCGGGTATGAGAGACATAGCAACTCCAAATATGGCTATGCAGGAACTCCTCATGCAAGCTCAGGGACGCCAGAGCTATCAAAGGCCCCAAGGATCTTATCCGGTGCAGGAAATCCCTTTATCCCACTCTCGGGGCCACATGAGTCGGCACACAGAATGCCTCCTCGACAGAGAGATGAACGCTGAAGCAACATCTTATGTGCAAGGGAGTCATCCATCAGAACCACCCTTGGGGGACAACTTTCCTCAAGAACACGACGACCAAAGGTCGGTAAGCGTCTTCGACTGGATAGGGGAGGATCCTAGCAATAGGGTCCGCCCAACAAGAGGATCAGTTCGTCCAGATTGCGAACAAGAGCATGTTCTCCCTCCTCCTCCTAGAAATAGGAGGGAGAGGAGAAACCTAGTCGATTGGAGGAGTCGAGGAGAAGCACCTCCACTGCCCCAGGACATCCAAGATGATGAAGGGTCAGAGGGGCCCTATCGATCTTATGAGATTGACGACGATGACGATAACCTCCCTTTCTCAAGGGAGATTCGAAGCTTCCCAATGCCAGCTAACTTCATGCCCCCTAAGATTCCCAAGTATGAGGGAAAGAGGGATCTGGAGAAGCACCTCACAAAGTATATGACACAAATGAGCCTTAGAGGAGCCTTGCCTGCTCTAAAATGCAGAGCCTTCCATTTAACACTAGGTGGAGCCGCCGAGGTATGGTACAGCAGGCTTCCTCCCCTAAGCATCCGAAGTTGGCCAGACTTGAAGAAAGCATTTTTAAACCAGTAACTCTCACGCAGGGAAGGAGAGGCGCCAATTCAACGCCTGCAAGACATGAGGCAGGCCCCTGGAGAGACGCTAAAAAACTATCTCGCCAGGTTTACAGACGAAATTACTTACTACGAACAGGTCACTGACAGGGAAGCCCTTTCAGCCCTGAAAGGTAGGCTCAACATGAACACTTTGTTTTGGAGGGACGTGCGCAGCAAGAATCCCTCCACATACGACAAGCTGGTGGAAATGATGAGAGTGGAAATTGTTAGTGAAGAAATAATTGATCATCGCAACCGTGCCACGCAGGGGCTCCCTCCTCCTCAGAGGCAGGTAGGTAGAGGCCCCACAACACCTTGTTACTCAGCAATGGACCCAAGCAGGGCATATCATAGCTCCCACATCTGGACAGGCCCTAGCTTCCGCCACATTGAATGCAGTGCCGGTGTTGGCATTTGATAATGCCCCTACTGAGGCGGGACCATCTGGAAGAACCGATAACAATAAGAAGAAGAAAAAGAGGCCAAACAGACCCTTGGCAAGAGCAAGGTTTTTTACATTCCATCAACTATACGGACATGACACCAGCGAGTGTCGTGATGCCAATCGGCGCCCTGATCGAAGCAACCCTCACACTTCCAGCAGAAATGAACACCCTCGCAGATTCACCTCCCCGAGGAGGAGAGAGAGAGGTCACCAGGAATAATCTCCTCGTAGAAGAGAATCGAGGAACCGAGGCCAATCCAGGCAGGGGAACCAAGCCCAATTTTCGGGAGGCCAGGTCATCAGGAAAATTGATACCATCATTGGGGCACCCCACCTCGGTGGCAACACAAGGAATGCCCAGAGAAATTACACAAGAGAAGCTAAGGATCCCCCGATGATCACTTACATTGTTGACGAATAGAAATCAGCAAACAAGATGGCCCCGATCACCTTCTACCAGGAAGACTCAGAGAGAGTTCACCACCCCCATTGCGATGCTTTGGTTGTAAGAGCCATAGTAGCTAGAAACGGATTAAAACGCATGCTCGTTGACAATGGCAGTTTCGTGAACATATTGTTCGGCTCCACTTTTGACAAAATGCAAATTGAACATGGGTTGATTCCCATGACCGACTCACTATTCGGATTCACTGGGGACAGCATCATCCCACGAGGGCGGATCACCCTGCCTGTGGAAATGGGTTCAGCACCCCTAGTCGCCCAACATTTCATGGAATTTCTGATGGTAGATCATAGATTGGCTTATCATGAAGTATTGAGCAGACCCGCCCTGAAAGATCTTTGGGCTGTGACGTCCATTCACTATTTGTGCATGAAATTTCCAACCGAACATGGGATTACAATAGTCCGGGACGATTAGATGGGCTCCAGGGCATGCTACCTAAACTCACTGTGCAAATTCGAGCCCCGAACTGTTAATGTAATCCTAGCCGGG